AAAAATGTCTGGAGAGAAAACGAACTTTCTCTTCAGAAATGTAGTTAGTTTGTCTTTTAAAAATATGCAAGCAGACTATTATCAAAAATTCACTGCACATTCCAGTTATGTTTCTTGATGCTGTTCAGTATGTACAAATACTATGATAATTTTAGGTCAAGGTTTTAAAAAAGGTGCAATAGTGTTCAATGCGTTAACAGTTTGGTCTATAAATAGAAGCAGAAGCAAGTGCGCTTTTGTGCGCTTTATATTTTTTTGGTTGTGTTGATACGATACAACAATTTATATTTTTCCTAAATAACTTTTTAAAGATCGAAACTCTGCAAAAAGTAAAGCTTTAGATAGAGTAGAAAATAACTCAGAGTGTAATTACTGTTACAGTTGGTACTGAGTGTCTAAAATATCGGACACTTAAAGAGGTAGTCTCTGTCATCCCAGCCATCTTTTCATTAATTTCAACAGAAGTTTGATGAATTAAGATCCAACTATGGAAATATCAAGCTTGTAAAAATGAAGAAAACCAACCAAACGTGTACGAGAAAGAGAATCTATCAAGTTCTCAGATTTTAAACAAAAAAACGGGAACACTTTATTTCTTAAAAGCGTGCAGCTTTCACACGGGCATGGTCGTCCCGTTCTCGTTTCAGAACGTGGGTGATAAAACGACGACAGTCACATTAGAAATGAAACGCAACATGCTGAGAATGTTTATGACCTTGACTTGAACCCCTTCACTAATTCCCGTTGGCTTTTTTGGACATATACTCTTTAAAAACAACCACAAACAATTGAGCAGTTGAAACTAGTTGTTGCACATGAGATCCAAAGAATCTACCTAGAAACACGCCACAGGATTAATCAAAGTTTCCAGTAGCGCATTGGAGTTTGTATTGAGAGAAAAGGTCACACATTATTGCTACCGCCTTACCTGAGTTTATTTGACAATATCCGTTTTGTATCAATTTGTTCTTCAATGTGCATAAAGTGACAATGTGAAACAGAACAAAACCAAGTTGCCTCTAAAGACGTTGTAAATTAATTTTATGCGTTTTCCTCAGTTTTGTTAAAAAGTTGAAAAACAATATTTTTCGAACATTACGGTTCATTTTATTCATAATAACATAATATGTGACGTCCTTCTGGTGTAATCTTTTATTCATTTTAAGTTTTAGTTGAAATTTGCTCAAAGATGACCGACGGGGACATTGCCCTTTAAAGGTGTCCTCTTTTTCTTGACACCCGGAAATTAAAGGAACCCAACTTTTCACAATTCAAGAGTGTTTGTATGTGTGTGTGTGTGTGTGTGTGTGTGTGTGTGTGTGTGTGTGTGTGTGTGTGTGTGTGTGTGTGTTTCGGTAACTTTCTTTCACGTATTTGGTTTAGTAAATCTGTCTTGTGTGTGTTTTCGTCTTGTCGTGAGTGTGTAATTTAATAAGTATGCTTGTGTGTATGTTTTACATGTGAAAAAAAATAATACACTACATACCCAAGGTGTCTCTTCTGTTCCCCAGTAAATAAATACTCTCAGAGAGACACATTCATAGTATAATATATGTATTTGTATTGTATTCCCATACCTATACATATACGTATATATATTATCCAAATAAATAAATATATGTACATGTATATACACATACATAATTATATATATTATGTATATATATATATATATATATATATATATATATATATATATATATATATATATATAAAAATATATATATATGTGTATACGTAAATATAATTATTGAGACTGAGTGCAATATTGTGCGGCATTTTTTTTTTATTGTCGTACAAACACTAGAAACGCACACATCATTGAAAACCCGTGTATGTCCTGTAACAATTAGACTCTTCGTTGTTGCAGGAAAAAGATATGAGTTTAATTCCGTTGTGAGAAAGTTTATTTCATCAAGAAGCTGTGTCTCTATCTGTTGGGATCCTGTACTCCACTCAACCTAGGCTGGCCCTGATAGGAGGAGCCGAAGTAGCCGACATATTAAATGATTTCGGTTGCCTCGATGGAGGACTAAAATGTCTATGTCAGTTAAGCAGTTGAATTAAGCTTCTTAAAAAAACAGACTCTGATGAACTTTCAGAAAAACATCTGGACTTTGCACAAGTTAAAATTAGAATTAATATTTCCTGGAGCAAATACCCGATGATTATAGTCTTCTATTTCTATTTCTCCAAAAGATCTCTACGTTGCCACTCAAGTAAAACAAGGGGATTACATTTATTCTGTTTTATTTGCACTTTCCATTTTTGTATGAGCTTAATGACAAACTTGATCAAAAGAGAAAAAAAGTAAAACAGTGGGGATGAAGCTCAACATGCACAACAGGTCACTACGTCAGACAGAGGACCAACGTATGTTATGTTGTGGTTAGGCACTTTGCCGTCGCGATTTTAAGTCCCAGGTTCGATTCCTACGTTATTTTCCAGTTTCTCAGTTTTTATGCTTAGACGTTGAACCGCTCTCAACCCCGGTTGGCTCTGACAAGCCGGTTTGAAGCCTGCCCCCTAAATTGTGTCCATGGAAGTGCAAAATACCTATATTAAATGAGACAGTTAAGTAAACTACGTTCAGCCAATTTCAGACAAAACTCTTATTCAAAGTTGTGAAATCTTACCTGCAAAATACGTATCTCTAAAATCCATGTTCCGTTGTTTCAATGAAAGCCAGAGTTCAAACCAAATATTTTTAAATGTGAGAAATTGTAATAAAGTGCTTTCTGGCTGAAGTAGCGCACCAGCTCTACAAAGGCGAGGTGCGTATTTGGACACCCTAGACCGAAAAGACTTCTCCGATTTTGAGCACACACGCTAGTTTCTTAACTACAGAGAAGACCTAAAGCTGTCTTGCCGACTTTCACAAATCACAAAATTAACCAATGGGGCGCAACAGGTAAAAAGGACACAGTTATTATCTATCCCTAGCACAATCGTCATCCACAAATCGTCACTCCCCTCCTGTGTCGAGAAAAAGAACACGTTATTGTGCACAGATGACGTAATAGGGGCTTCCCTCCAATCAGGAAGCGGATTTGATCTAGAGGGGGAGGCAAGCGTGACGAAAAGGGGGAAGAGTTCTCTCCCGCCCGAGGTGCTGCTTGTAGCGGGAGTTATTTCCCCTGGACAGCGCGGTCAGTGATAGATGGATCCCGCTCCTTGACGGTTCAACCGGGAGAGTCACGTGGTAGTGCTGAAAGTGTCAACAACAAGACGAAAACATGACATGCCGAACAAGGTGAAAGGAAGAGAGCTTGCGTCGTTTTCGCCCTCACAGGTCGAAGGCAGGCTAGTGACGCACAAGTCATGACTGGACACGCCAGGTCCAGGATGACCGCTGCTACATGTCGAAGGCGTTGCACATATGATGAATGTCCAAGGATGGGGGGGGGGGTGCATGTCATCGCCTTAGAGGGATAGGATGAGGGGAAGTGAACGTTTTTAACTTAAATGGAAAGTGTACATTATGTACTCAAATGGAAAGTGTATATTATTAATTTGAATAGTAGGTTGATATAATTTTTTGTTAATGGAATGTGTACATTATGTACTCAAACTGGAAGGTCAACATTATAAATTGAAATAAAAGGTGTGCATTATGTACTTAAATAGAAAGTCAACATTGTAATTTTAAATGGAATGTTCACATTCATTATTTACTTAAATGGAAGGTGTATATTGTGTTTTTAAATGAAAGGTGTACACTATGTACTTAAATGAAAATGTTTACATTGTATACTTCAATGAAAAGTGTACAATACGAATTTGAAAGGAAAGTGGATATTATAATTTTAAATAGATGGAGCACATTATGTACTTAAATGGCTGGTTTACACTTATTCGTACCTAAAAGAAATATGTAACCTTTGTATTTACATTTAACTGCATTGCTAAGACAGCATGTTTCTCTGTACCTTAGTTGGCCAATCATTCAAGATGCTGAAATTGAAATTAATACTAACAACGAGTATTTCTTTTGTAATGATAATACATTCGGTTTAAATTACATACAGGAAATATGGTTAGCCTTTTTTTTCACTCAATCTGAGTTGAATTAATTCTCGCATATTGGTTTGGCTGTGTGAATTGGCTTGACTGATTTTCTAACTCACCTCTACAACTTATACAAGCCAAATGGTGTGAGTATTCACAGAACTTGTGTCCTCCTAATTAGACTGTCAATCAAATTTAACCAAAGCGAAATGTGTAGTTACCGATATTTGCGATTAAACATTGACCACAAGAAAGATTAGTTTACCAGAGAAATACCCAATAAGCTATTTATTTTGGAGACGGGGATTCAAGATGGCGGACAGTTGCGACGCACTTTGCGTGGTCTACTATTTTCCATCGTCTGTTTCCGGCATCATTATCAGTTGCCCCCAATGTTGGTTTCCTCTTGTTGGAAGGTATTGTAGGTTTGAAATTGTGCAGTTTGACTGGCTGCACCAGGCTCTGCAAGCACTGTCTTTGATTTTTGTCCGATCTAGAGGTGCATCTAGTACACTAGATCTCCTAATGGTAGGCTGAGGTTTGAAACTCGCCCTCATTCTTGATAACTCCCCCTGGGCCTGTTAAAACAGCGCGAGAGGTTTTGGTGAAAGTTGATCAAACTTTGATCTGGAAATGACTGAAAGTCCGCACCCGAGTCTATTTTGAAGACCACAAAATATCAAAGAGACACACCAACGTGGCTCTGGGTATAAACACTTGCCATGAATCGAACCTAGACTGAAAACTTCTTTCTCATTACTGCATTGACAGTTTGTGACCTACAGACAGACGCCAAATGTGACCGTTTCTTACAGTTATGACAGCGTGTACCCTTGACAGGACACGTACATGTATTATCCTTGTCATGTTTACGACCACAATTTCTACATTTGTTAGTTTCAGACATTTAAGATTTCTCTCCTCTGCTAGATCCTCCATTACTTCTCTGGCCTCTGCCGTGCGAGTGAAACTGAGAATGGTGGGAAGAATGAAGTCCTCTTGAAAATGTTATTCTAGATCTATCTAGGTGCACAACATTCTGTTGTATGTCGCTGAGTACCGAGTTGTGTTGTGAGTTCATAATGCCGAGCTGTATCTGCGACTGTAGCCAAACTTAGATTTTGTTCCAGATCAGTGGCGGGGAGCCATTGGTGCAATTGGTGCAAGCGCTCCACCTATCCCTG